GTGCTTTCAAGATCTGTCACGAGGCAGGTTCCTCTCTCTCTTCCTTTTCCACCAGGAAGAAGGAGGAGGTTCCTCCCTCTGCTATTCCCGCAGGGGGACAACATTGGTTTGGGACAACACTTGTTGTTGGGCATTGTACCAATTTTTTCCGTACCCATTTCGGGCGAATCGCGGCCGGAGCCCCGGACCCAGCCATTCTGCGGCATGTTTTGTCCGAGAGGGAGAGGCTGCTTGCTCTCCAGACTTAGGTTGGGCCTGTCCCGCTATAGGGGAATATTCCAGAATAGTCAAGAAATAGTCGGGGGATTTGTTCCATATTTTCAAGCATTTTGGGTGTTTTTTTCTGGTATTCTTAATTTTTCGCTCAAAATCCCCCTGTGGGGGGCACGTGCCCGACTTAACTCTAGACTTGCACGGAGTGGGGGGGGGTCGCAAAGCAGGCAAGGGGGAGAGGGGGGGGGGAAAGGGGGGGCGAAGTGCCCTGCAAGTGAACTTGCCAGGAGCAGAAAAGGAGAGGAGAGGACCAAATAATGCGTTCTGCCCGAGATGGAGCGATCCGTGAGTCAGGGCCCCAGGGCCCCAGGCGGGGCGAAAGCGCCTGGAGCGGGAAGCTTGCGGCGCCCGCATACAGTCGGGGCGCTGAAGAAGGAACCTTTTTCGTTTGGGAGGGGCTCACTGTTCCTTAGCTGTTTCACAGGTTGCCTTCGGTGTTCCTTACGCTTCGATGGGAAATCGAAGCTCAATTATGGACAAAAGGGGCTTCGTTCCTTATTCAGGGTTCCTTAGGTCAACGCGCCGACTCTATGTCAGAGAGAGGGCGAACCACGCCGAGCCACTCCGGAGCCCTAAAGAAACCCGCGCTCGGAAGGTGCCCTCCCCGGCCGGGGCCGCGCGCGGGGCTGGTCGGGCAGCGCCGAGGATTTGAGGCTCCAGGATGGAAGCACGAGGAGGCTTCGGGACGCCTGCCTCGGCGGATGGGACAGGTGCCCATCCTGCTGCCCTCGCCTATCGTTCTCCGCTCTCTGGGCCTCCCGGGGGCGCCCTCGTCGCCACCGCTAGATGTTCGCCCCGGCATCCTTGTCAGACCGCGCCCCAGGACAGGTCCGGGGAGTAGCGGTATCGGTACCTTTTGGTTTCCTCATTTGCAGGAAGGGAGAACATGTTAAATGACACGCTGCCTCTGGTGGTCCGTCGGCGTGTGTTTCTCCTTCGCTTCTGTCCGAGCACCCGGTGCGCCGCCAACAATGACCCGCTGGTGGGTTCCCACGGCGACGTCATTGATGCGTTTTGTCGCTCCCCGAGTTTGGGGTCGTTCGGGGGACCGTACATAGACATTACATTCGAACCCTCTTGCCCAAGATGCCCCCCAGACCCCCCGAAATTAATAATGATGGCGTGGCGACGGGGGGGGCGTGAGTGGACAGAAATATTCGAACCCCAAAGCAACGCCTTCACTGAGATCAACATTGATGTCGGGGGCGCGGGGGTGATGTAGAATCTCCCTCGAGTGTGTAAGGGTTCAGATATATTGTCCATCTACTGGATCTCTGGAGTACTTCTGGGCGCCTCGACGAAAGCACGCTTCCTCGAGGAAGTGGCGACCCCCCTGGTGGTGACACCCCCTCGGCCCTGCCCGGGTTGGAGGCAGGCGCGCGACGTCGCCGCCCGCCCCTCGGCGAGTGCGGCCTTCGGGAGGTCACGGATCCGCCCAAGAAGGTGTACGAGAACATCGAGGACGGAACCAAGGCGGGCGCCGACGTCTGGCGGGTTGGCCTCTTCCTCCTCCTCCTCCTCCTCCTCCTCCTCCTCCTCCTCCTCTTCCGCCTCCTCCTCCTCCTCCTCCTTCTCCTTCGCCCTCCCCATTCTCCCCCCTCGCCTCTCTCCTCCAGCACTACTCAATAGGAGCACTGCTCTCCTCTCTCCGCTGCAGATGGCCGGGGACGGGAACGACCCCCTTCCGCGCATTGTTTCGTGCTACGCGCCGGATTCCACTAGTCGGCACTTCCTTTGTTTTTTCTCCATCGGAGCGTTCTCGGTGTCTCCCACTGCTGGTCCCGCTGCAGCGTTGGCCTCATTCTATGATCGGCGCTGTGCTCCCATCGTTGAGGAATGGCGCTCTCGCCTCAGCGCGGGCCACTTTTCTGGATGCAAGGGCTTCCTCGTCGCTGTCGCCCCGCTCCTCTCCCCTCCCCCGCCCTCCCCCGGTCGTCCTGCCCCTCCCGCGTTTCCCGCTCCGGCCCCTGCTGCTGGTGCTCCCTCTTGTCCTTCTCCTCCTCCCGTTCCTTCTGCTTCTCCTTCTGCTCGTCCGCCACCGCCTCCTCCTATAGACAGTCGGGGCCCTGACGAAGGAACCCTTTTCGTTGGGGAGGGGCTCCGTGTTCCTTAATTGTTTCGCAGCTTGCCTCAGGTTTGCCTTCGGTTTTCGACACGAAGTCGAAGCTCGACTTGTGGAACATAGGGGCCTCGTTCCTTATTTAGGGTTCCTTAGGTCAACGCCCCGTCTGCATACGCAGCTCCGTGTTCCTTAATTGTTTCGCAGCTTGCCTTGGATTTGCCTTAGGTTTTCGACACGAAGTCGACGTTCAACTTGTGGAACATAGGGGCCTCGTTCCTTATTTAGGGTTCCTTAGGTCAACGCCCCGTCTGTATACGCAGCTCCCCTTTTACCGACTGCGCATGGCACGATGGGGTCCTTTTTGTTCGCACCCCAGGGTCCGCCGTGGCACGTGCCGGCCGAGAGACGGCCTCGGCGCAAGGGTAGGGCACAGGTGGGAGGGGTGGGATGTCGGATCTGGCGCGAGTTCACCTGGCGCGTCTCTCCCCCTTCTCCTCTCTCCTCTCTCCTCTCCTCTCCTCTCCCCTCTCTCTCTCTCTATCTTTCTCTCTTTCTCCCTGTCTCTTTGTTTGTTCTCTCTCTCTCTCTCTCTCTCTCTTTCTCCCCCTCTCTACTTATAGACGTCTCTCTCGCTCTCTCTCTCTCTCTCGCTCTATCCCGTTTTCTCGTTCCTTCTCCCTCTGTGTCTGTCTCTCTCGCCCTCTCTCGGACTGTCTGCCTGCCTGTCTGTCTGTTTCTATATATATATATAAATATATTGTTGTCTCTCTCTCTCTGTCGCTCTGTCTCTCTCTCTCTCTTTCTCTCTTTCTCTCTTCCTCTCTTTCTCTTTCTCTATCATTATCATTTCTCTCTCTCTCTGATTCTCTTTCTCTCTCTCTCTCTCAGCCTGTCTGTCATCCTGCTTGTCTGTCTGACTGACTGTGTGACTGCCTGTCTGCCTGTCTGCCTGTCGGTCGGTCGGTCTGTCTTTCTGTCGGTATATATATATATATATATATGTATGTATCCTTTTGTCTCTCTCTCTCTCTCTTTGTCGCTCTGTCTACCTCTCTCTTTCTTCCTCCCTTTCTCTTTCTCTATCATTATCTTTTTTTTCCCCTCTCTCTCTCTGATTCTCTCTCTCACTCTCTCTCTCTCAGCCTGTCTGTTATCCTGTTTGTCTGTCTGACTGGCTGTGTGACTGCCTGCCTGTCTGTCTGTCGGTCGGTCTGTCTGTCTGCCTGTCTGTCTTTTTGTCTGTCTGTCGCTTTCGTTATGCTTCGCTCTCTCTCTCTCTCTCTCTCACTTTTTCTCTCTCTCTCTCTCTTTTTCTCTCTTTCGTTCCCCTTCCTCTCTCTCTCTCTCGGTCTGCCTGTCTGTCTGCCTGTTAGCCTCGTTATTCTTGCTCACCTGCTCGTTCACTCTCTCTCTCTCTCTCTCTTTCCCCGTCCCTCTTTGTTTTTTTTGTTCTCTCTCTCTCTCTCTATCGCTCCTTCTCTAGATATCCCCCTCTCTCGCTTTCTCTCCCCGTCTCTGTCGCCTTCTCATCGCCCTCCGCATGCTCCTCCCGAGGGGCGTGCAGACCAGGGCAAGATGTCAGCGGCGAGGCCGAACGGCGTCCTCCCTGGGCGACGTGCACTCCTCCTCCTCCTCCTCCTCCTCCTCCTCCTCCTCCTCCTCCTCCTCCTCCTCCTCCTCCTCCTCCTCCTCCTCCCTCCTCCTGCTCCTCCTCCTCCTCCTCCTTCTCCCTCCTCCCTCCTCCTTCTCCTCCTCCCTCCTCCCTTCTCCTCCTTCTCCTCCGCGTCCTCGTCCTCCTCCTCCGCCTCCTGCTCCTCCTCTGGAGAGGGGGGGGCGGCGGCAGTGGCGTTGCCGAAACGCGCCCAGAATCCTGAAAGGCATGAAGGGTGCAAACCAGACCTGCCTGGCTGATGCTATGGAGGAGGGGCCTGTGCTCAGGGCTGGCAGAGCGGTGAGACGATGTGCCGTCAATCGAACCTGCAGGGTCGGCCCGCTCACACCCTGCTTGCATCCAGGGTGCCCTGGGTTTCTGGAAAGCCTGACGTTCCCACACCAAAAATCAATGGTCGTCCTGGGGTCTCAGGGTTGGGTTTCTTGTGGAAGGTGTCTTGTGGTCGAGTTTCTGCTGTATTCTTTCTGCCAATGCACCTTTGCTCTGCACGGCCTTTCGTCTCTCTGTTGACCTTCAGAGGTCTAGGCCCAAAGATTTGCCGGCCGTCCCGAGTTGTTTTCCCACAGCCTGGCCCACGGAGGGGTCCCTTGGGGGCCGACAAAGTTGCAGAACAGGTCGGGATTGCTGTTGTTCGAGACCAGAAGAGACTTGGGTTAAGACGGAGCTAGGACGAGGGTATAATCGGATGAGGATACATCGAGAATGTCTGAGATCTGGCGGTTCCGGAGATCGAGCGCCGCGGCCTTCTCAGAGCGTTCCGGAACGGATTTATCCTCGTCTTAGCCCCGTCTTATCGGTCTGGGAATCAAAACATCAGCCCCAGGACATGTCTTGGGTGCGTTCTTGCCAGAGTTTCGAGACGAGTCCAGCCTCTGCGTTGAGAGAGTCTCCGGAAGCAACAGACGTAAAGGCTCCATAACCTCTACCTTGGATCCCCACTCTCCACTGCCACTCTGGCTCGCGGAGATCGCTCGATCCTCTTCCCCGCAGTTTGGGCACACGGGGCACGGGTGTATCCGCAGACATCCGACGCTCCGACTCTGTTCCGCGCGAGGGCCTTCGACCTCCTCAGACGTGCGATGTCCTGTTTTTTTCTGCTCGGGGTCCCGAGGAGTCCCGAGCTTCTCCCCAGGATCGTTTTTTCGTCCCGAGTCGTTTTCTGCTGGTCCTGGAGCCAGGTACGGGCCCCTCACAGGCCGAACATGTTGAAAAACCTGCCGTCCTGATCTTGGCATCGCTCGGACGTGTGCATCTTTCCTGCGGCGAGGACCATCGAGGAGCATCCTTGATCATGTGGCGCAAAAGACACGCACGAAACCGACAAACACACAGGGAATGGACGTCCGAGCGATGGCCAGTGACCTGTCGCGGCGCGAGCACGTCCGGGAGTCTGAGCATCCCCCGCTGCAGGATCTGCATGTTGTACCTGAGGATGCGAGAAGAAAGATGACGAATATGATGATGGTGTTCACCCCAATCAGCTTGAGAAACACCCGCTGGAGGATCCCAGATTGCACGAAACCACCCATTGAGTAGTAAGGCTGCCCGCTCGCTGTCAGGCACCATATTTGGCAAAATGTGCGGGTGGATTCTTGTCCGGGCCCGCTGCTCTTGTGTGTTCTTGCACTCCCACAGGAGGTGTCGAGTGGTGGCTGGGACATCCCCCAGCAGCCGGCTCTGCATCCCGAGCCGCGTTCTGACCGCCCCGAGGCCTGCCATCGGCTTTCGTGTGGAGGCCCACAGAGTGGAGGCAAAACCGCCGCCTCGATGCTTGTGGAGGGGCTGGGCCCAGAGACCCATCGTCGAGGAGAAAGAACGTTTGTTCGTCATGCAATCGCAGACGTGGCCTCATCCAGGTCTCGCACTAGTAGTTAGGGAGTTAACCAATCTGGGCGGCTGGTCTGGTTCATCTGCTGGAAGAGCTCCCTATCCCTGACGTCCTGGGCGTCTTCGCTGAGGCCCGCTCCCAAAGGGTCAGTCCCTCAACGGCTAATCACCCAATGCCCCCCGGAGATCCCGGCCCTTGCCGGTGCTGACTTCTCGCCCCAGGTTGTTTTCTGGCGGCCCATCGGGCCAGGCGAGGGCCCCGAGAGGCCGCGAAGCGTCGTCTCTGTTCGCAGCGTGGCCCCCCCCCCAGAGGAGGAGGAGGAGGAGGAGGAGGAGGAGGAGGAGGAGGAGGAGGAGGAGGAGCAGCAGCAGCAGGAGGAGGAGGAAGAGTAGCAGGAGCGGAGGAGGAGGAGAGGAGGAGTGGGAGGAGGAGCGAGGAGGAGGAGGAGAGGAGGAGGAGGAGGAGGAGAAGGAGGAGGAAGAGGAGCAGGAGGAGGAGGCGGAGGAGGAAGAGGAGCGAGGAGGAGGAGGCGTGGAGCCCTCCTCCGGGGACGGGACCTCCGTCGCGAGTCGCCCCTTGAGCGGCCCCCGGGCCCGGCGAGGACCCACTCTTGGAGGCGGAGCGTGCACAAAAGCACCACATCCTCCTCCATCCTCCTCCTCCTCCTCCTCCTCCCCCTCCTCCTCCTCCTGTTCCGCCTCCTCCTCCTCCTCCTCCTCCTCCTCCTCCTCCTCCTCCTCCTCCAGCCTTCTGTCGCACGGCCCCCTCGAGATGAAGCGCAAGTTTTTCCCGCGACGTGGCGGCGCCCCAGGACCTTAGTGGGCCCTGGAAACGACAGGGCCGTTTTGTTACCGGTTCTGGTTTGCCGTTCTTTTGCCGGTTCCGACGCCGTTTTCGTACGGGTTTCGTCACCGTTCTTTTACGGGTT